AAATCTCTCACATTTTATATTTGATAATGAAAATAATTCCTACAATCTTAAGTCACTGATGGATTCTAAGTTCCTGAAAATTCAGACAATTTCCTCCCACAAAACTATTCAACATGTCAAATGACCTTGCTTTAAGCAACTTGTCATATAAAGCAATTACTTTAAACTTGACTGAAATATGCACAAATAGTCAGTATTAGACATCCCTTTAGGGTAGTCATAAACTCCAGCAGGTACAGTAGGATAACTTTTATGAGAACAGTGACTGTAGATAAAAATAAATGAATAAATAAAACCATACAACCCATTTAGTCTATCTTTGATTTTACAATCTTGGTAGACATGAGTAGTATTTTTCTAAGAAGAACAGCAATGCACGTATTACAGTAAATGGTGACTGGCACTAGCCTTCAACATTGGAGGTGGGCACTGGGGGTTTATGGTCCCCATAATTCAGAATACAGGTCCTGTTTTAATGGAAACATAGCTACTAGTCTGGCTCAACCAACTACGGCCATTATAAATACACCATTGTCACATCATCCAATTTTTCAATGTAAACTGAAATCCAGACTGGAAGCAGTCCAAAATGTGAATTATTATGCACTCAGAGGAATACTATGCACTTGCAAAAAGGATGAGGAGCCTTTTAAAATACTGATATAGACTTATCTCCGTGATACATTAAAAAAAAAAAAAAGGCGAAGTGAAAAACAGTGCCTGTAGGATAGTACAGTTTCTATAATGATGCCAAGGGGGAGAAATGCTTTGCTTGTATTTTGAAAAAAATAAATTTTGAATAGGGAAAAGAGAACATAGACAGAAGCAAGGCTTCAGTGCTTCCACCTTATTATAGTTTTGACTTTGGAATTTCGTAAACGTTTCATTTAAGAAAAAAAAAATTGGAAAATAAAGAGAGAGAAAAGAAAATCCCTGGAAATTAATCTAAATGAATACTAAGCAGGGAGAGCTGGAGTGTGAGAGGTGCCAGCTCATCTGCCTGCTTGACGACCAGGGACCCTATGCTGAAGCTCACTGTCCACCTGCCATGCCCACCACTTACACTGTTCTGCAGTCAGTCCTCCCAACCAAGAGAGGGGGCTGGTGAAGAAATACCCTAACAAGTGAGAAAATCCAGGCCCGCTCTCTGTTATTATCAGCTTAGTCCTTAGTCAAAAATATAGCTGATCTGACATTTAAGGAAAACCAATAACACACAGAGGAAACCAACATGAACAATGTGATATAATCCAGGAGACAGATAATTCTCTAACAAAACAGCCCTTTGGAAAAGTTCTAATTAGTAATGTCTCTTCTTGTAAGGGCATGAGAATTTCATTCATGGGGCTCCACACCTTCATGATCCAATTATCTGCCAAAGGCTCCACCTCTTAATACCATCACATTGGGGGGGGAGGGTAGGATTGTATATCGGAAGTTTGGAGGGATGCAAACATCCAGGTCATAACAGTAATCTAATGCTGTATGCACAAATCACTCTGAGAGTGTCTTAAAAATCGTTATGGCTCATGATTTCTGTGCATTAAGAATTCAGTAGTGGTTTGGCTGTGCAGTTCGAACTTGGGGTGTCATTCTCACCAAGGTAGTCACTCAGGGCTTGACTGGGGTTGGAGGATCTATTTCTGGAGGTTGGAGGAGCCCTCCGTTCTCCACACACCTGCTTGAGGCCTCAGGTCATGGAAAATTACTTTCTCCAGAACAAGCAGTCAAAGAAAGCAAGGCTTTTTATGACCACGCCTCAGAAATAGATGGCCACTTTCACCATATTCTGTTGGACACACAGGCCAGCTCATTTAGTGTGGAAGGAACAACACAAAGCCAGGAGGTGGGGATCATTGGAGGCTGGCTACCTCAACTGCAATAGTTAGTTTTGGCAAGAATGGGAGGAAATGAGTGCCCTAATGCACTACTGCTGGTGTGTAAATCGGTGTACCTCAGTTAGGTGATTTGAGAGCAGATAGTAAAAATTAAAATGCACATATCTTTGCATATATTCTATATGAAATACATATGTATAAGGGTGTTCACTACAGTGTTTGTAATAACAAACAAAGGGGGAAACCCTAAATATTTGTAAATAAGGGAATACTATGTATGGAACAGTTAAAAAGAATGTGGTGGATCTATGACTGACCATGGAAAGTTGTCTAAGAAAAACATTGTTAAGAAAAAAATAAAGTACATTTCCATTTAAATAAAAAGAAAAAAATATATTAAAACTGATTTTGTGTATGTATATGAAAAATCTACAGTAAGGCTCTGGAAAGACACATGTAAAAATTTTGGTAGTTACTTATGAAAATGGTAGTGTGTGGAGTGGAGGCAAAACCTTTACTTTGTAATATTGTTTTGTTTGAATTTTTAACAAAAATGGCTTTAATAATTGAAACATTTAAAATTGGTAAATAACAGACTTTGAGTGACAACCCAAACACCCTCTTACAGTAAATATGGGAATTACTGGTTAGACTATTTGTTTTAGCTCCTCAGAAGCCCTTTGTTGCTTACTTATGGATTTTTCATTGCTGCTACAGTTTCGCTGATCTCAGAGCAAGTCTTTAGAAAATTAAGAGAGCAAGGTTTAACTTCTGAATCTGTTTTCACTTGTGGTGGTGTAATTCACTTGAATGGCTGTTAGACAGACAGGCAGTAAAATATTGGCTCTCAGCCTCTCAGTGTCATCACCTAAAAAACAAGGATCAGATACACTATCCACCATATAATGCCATTATGATCAAGTGAGACACTGAAGTCATTGGCACTAATTAAGACACTCTAAAGGTGGCCATTATTAGTTTAGGTCCATTCTAAATCTCTTATCAGAAATAAAGAGCTGTTTTGGTCAGTATAAAGATGTGACTGAATACAAGCTAAGTGAAATAAAACCAATCATGACCTCTTTGTTTTCTCTCTTTCTCCTCTCCCAAGTGTATATAAGAAGAATACCCCAAGAGGCTCAGAGATAAGTTTATAAAAGTGTATTTGCTCTCATAAAAATCAAAACGTAATTTATTGTGTTGTAGAAGAAAAAAAACCTTTAGAAATTATTACACAAACACCAAAGCATCCATATCTAATCATCAAATTACAATAAATTTATTCTCCAGAAAAGCTTAACTATAATCATTCGTTCTAAATATCAAATTTAATACTTCCTCAAATAGAACATTACTATCAAGGTATCTATATTCATGAGACACCTACTAAACCAGCAACCCACACAACAGGTCTATAATTCTCTAACCCTGCAACTTGGTGGAAGCGAAGGACTGAGATGTTTAAATGAATCTTGCCTATGTCACCAATCCATTGAATTGTTTGGACAAGTCATTTAACATCCCTGGGTTTGAGTCTCCTCAGTGAAAGTGAAGAGTCTGGGTTAAATTATCCCCAAAGTCCATGGTAAAATGTTCTCTAGCCCTCCCTAATCCAAGGCATTTCTTTTCCTTGTAAATCGATCAAAGCATCAGATGTAGTCTCTTGTTCATCTTGAGAATATGATTTTCAGCAAAGGGCTTACTTAAAAAACAAACACTGCAACAAAAAACAGATTGTAAAATTCATCATGATGGGATCTGAAATGAAGGTGGTCTTGTTGAACAATGAGCAATGACAGTAAAAGGCTAATCAATCACAGCATGTTTCAAGAACGTGGTGCAGTTTTCTTCAGTGCTTTGCATTCACTCTGTAGTCATAACAGACTATGTGCTTTTAAATGAGAGGATCCTAAATGATGTCTATAAATGTGGACTCTAATATTAGTGCCAGTTTATTGAGTAGGACTGTACTAACAGCCCTTTTGTTCCTATGTTACTTTTGCCTTACCAGTTTACTGCCACTTGGCTTTATACATTATTGAGAATTGTTTTGTCCCATACCTTCTGTACTATTTCCAAACTTTGCTGTATAATAGAATATCTATTAACATGTAAGGGGTTGAAACTTTTATGGAATGTATTTATGGAGTGTGCAACTACCTTTTCTTTGCAACAGTTCAATGCAATAAAAGACATCTGAACTCTAATACTTTTTCTGCTTTAAAGCCACAGTAAGAATTAGAATGCATCCTTTTCACAGTCAAGTACATTCAGTGGAGTTCCCATATTTTTATTACCATCTTTGTAAAACTGCTTGTTTTATCTTTCAGGTTTTCTCATGAAGGTTAAGAGAGTTGGTTAACTTGATCATCTGAATATTCTGAACATTCATGTGCCAATATCAGACACTTCAAGATACGCATGAGACAAGTTTCTCTACTTTTACATAGTTGGCCACTATACGATGCTATGACTAACTGAAGAGCCTGAGAATTCCAGAAAACTTTCTACTATTGAAACATATTAATAACTTTAGATGCACAAACTACTTTTCTTGACAGGTAACTTTTTAGCAAGAAAGTGGTCCTTAACTGAGTTTGACTACAATAAAAAAGCAAATATAAAACCTGTTTCAGGATCTTAGTACATATTTTGTAATGCATATCAATGTTTTACTGAGTTGCACAGACTGAGAATCTCTGAGAATGTACTTTTCTTGTATGAAGAGCTGAGAACTCACTTTGCAAAACATCACAAAGGCATTTAGAAAACAGCGGCCATGTCTTCTTTACCAATGCATCCTTCACAGTGCTATCACCATGCTTTTGCACACAAACACTTAATATTCAGTAAATTTAATTGGAGAGATTATATGGAACACATACAAAAACACTTAATATAGCATATAAATATTGTATAATTTAGTTACATGGTTTCAGAGTCGAGATAGATATTTTATTCAATGTGGTAGATAAAAATACTCAAAAGTAAACTCAAAAGAAAAGCATTTTCTGAAGTGTCTACATATTATGGATTTGTAATGTATCTTTGAATTTATACAATGTTAAATGTTTTCATAACTCTTGTCTATTCAAGCAGTTTTCAATGTTTAGCATACTTATTAAAGAACTTTACTTAGGCAAAGTAATCATTAAAAAGACATAAAGCAAAATAATTCATTTTATTTCTGAAATGCTGACATATTTACAATAACATTTTTCATGCATTATGATTTTCTACAGTTTTACATTTATTAAAAATTAAAAATCTTAGGAAATCTAATTCAATTACTTATGAAAAAATTAATGACTGATCAGAAAATATTAAATTACTATTATTTGCTTAAGATTTTATCATAATCATGAATAGCATATCACCATGAATACCTTCATTTTACTTTTAAAACTGTATTTATACTTTTTAAACCTCATATTGGGGGCAATAAGACTTTATTCCAAATTATAGTCCCATATGGAAAGGAGCTTTTAATTCAAGGTTTCATTATGGTCCATAGTATAAAGATATATTTTCAGGAGGGTTACATGATGGATAGCCAGCAAAAGAAATATGCTAGCAGAGGGTAGTAAATTGCCAACTAAGCATGCACTGAACCAACAGGCTAATTTAGAACATGGTTAAGTCCTTGATTATTGCCAGCTTTTCTATAATGTTCAGGTTCTCAAAGGTCACTGAATTTTATAATTATCTCCAAACAATTTTCTTCATGGTCATTTAAGCTTTGTCTAAACAGCTGGGTATGTTGCCAAGCAACAATGCCATCTCCTCTGCTTAGTTCTGCTTCCAAAATAACTTCAGTGGCACCAGAAAAATCATGATAGGAGCGAAGAGTTTTATCTGTTGGAGGAAAAAAAAAATAATAATAATAATACTGTGCTTTCGGTAACTTAAAGAACATAGAGTTTTGGAATGCATTTTATATACCCTACTTGTAGGCTAAAATCAGCTCTTTAACAATAAATACAAATTACTCCTTATTGTCCTTTGAAAATAAGAAATGATTTTTCTCCTTCCATTTGTTTCACAGTAAAAAACATAGGCTCTTCTATTAAATGAGGTTATACAGATTTTAATTAAAAATTTTTTTTTTTTTTTACTGCAATAGTATGAATAACTCTTGGGTATGAAAAACTCAAAACTACATCTCAAATAAGTACAATTACTCTTCAGAGTGTTAAATACACACTTCATGATTAATTCTCCAGTCAAATGCTTACCGCCTGACAGTTCTACTTGCACTGTATCAGATTGCAATTTCCACTGTATTGTTCCAGTCTGAAAGGTTTGACTACTTGTTCTAATGGAAATGCTGTCTATTTTTAGGCCAACTGACCCACATTCAAACTTCCAGGAAATATCAGCATAAGATGATCCTTCCTTTCGGGCTAAATACACCTACAATATAAGAGGAAAAAAAGAACTGTCAGAAATAATGAAATAGTGTACAAAATACATATAGTCATTCTTATTGTCACAGGGTACTATGTACAAATGGTTATTAAAAATCTAATTTTCCCCCACTGAACACATTTTTATTGCTAAAATTTTCTCACTTTATTAGCAGTTTTCACCTGTAGCACCTTTTGCACTGGAAGAAAGGTATTATTTGAATATAGGTAGTTCAATAAGTACAGCCCTAAAGGGCTGCATGCTAACCAAATTTTGGTAAATCATATTCTTTTTTAAATTATTAAGTTCAGCTATTTAAAATGAACTTTATAATAAATTCTGCTGAAAATGAAGAATTGTTTCAAATGTAATTTTATGTTTTCAAAGTCTGGATTTTCAGATACGCTTTCTAGAGGGAGATGGGCCATTTACTCTAAAAAAAAAAATTGGGTTGTTGAAAAAGTTATGACACATTTTTGCAACAAAAAACAGAAAAAATACATCATGACTTTTCCAACAACCCAATAGTTCAGTCACTGCTAAGTCATGAATGGTTTAAAAGGTAATATCCACACTTGCCTCTCTATAAACAGTACACTCCCCATTCATTCACCATCAATGTCCCTTACAACTTTAAATGTATACTATTTAAGGCATCCAAGTTTACTGGCTGCTTCTAGCTCATCTCTCAAAGCATCATCTACACTCTTCAAGATGATGGCATGAAAACTGACATTCATAGCCTTGGTCTTTCACAGGGAACTCCATTCACCCAGGCTCAAACCCATAAGGATCTGACTTTTAATCATGTCCAAACTCCCCATAATACTCTATACATTTCTTTGAAATAAGTTTAGAAAAAAAAATCCCTTTTTTCATTTATACTGCACTTACCACTATAGTCATGACTTTATGCTTATCTTTCTGCAACTGCCAAATTCATGTTTTTAAAGTCTCACTTCCTTCATATTATCTGCCTAGTCTAGAACGCACAACAAGCACCTGGCTCTCACATTATATCCAAGCTTGTAGCTTTCATGGTCCTCCAGAATTTCATCTTTGAACTGACAACACTCCCTTACTTGAATGTAACTATTTTATTTTGGGTGTACTTGTACGATCTAACTTAACCAAATTATAAGCTCTCTGGAGCTACGGGGTCTGGATTCATAGGATTTAATAAATAGTATTTAAGCATTAAAAATTGGAATACACACATACATATTCTTGCAGAAACAACCAATTTACTTCTCAAGGGCAAATAGTTAGAAGTACCATATAATACACATCTGCATGAAAATGTCCTTTAGTCATCAAAAAAATCAATCACTGCTAGTATTCTATTGATATTTTATTGGCAAACCTATAGATATTTTTCCTCCAGGTTAAATATATCAGTTAATTTGAAAGTTTCAAAAATCACTGAGCTAGAGATTATAAAACAGCTAAACAATCATCACTCTCCAAGGATAATGATTTGAACTCCTTAGACAAGATACATATAATTAACTATTGTTTTGGATGATAAACCTAAATGTATAGAACTGTCATCTCCTCCACTCAAGTTCAGGACACCCTCACTATAACATCTTCTGATGCTCATGTGTTCTTACTGCATGCTCCTCTTACGGCTGTTAGGAGAACCTGGGACTCAGGATTACACCAGTGCTCTCTGGGAGTCATTGGTCTCACCTCTCCTAAACTACTGGGTACCCATAGATTAATGACTCCTTCAAAGAAGCGGCTAATAAAGGGGATTATCTGGAAAAGGTGAAACGAACAGAGGGGTTATGGAAAGAAAGTGGGTTTGAATGAACTAAAAGTCTGGGGAAAGTAATCTTAAGACAGAAATAAATACAAATTCACATCTCACTATATATTCCTATGTCTTATGGATTTTCAGAGCTCAGTACTTTCAAATGTCCCCCCTAAAGTGTGAGCATAAAATATGCTAAGCTGAAGCCAGGTTAATTTCAAATTTCTAGCTTACTCTGAGAATTGTCTTAATTACACCATGTGGCTCTGGGCCACATGTCATAGAAGATTTATAGTTGCTGTTGAATATGGCTGAGAGAATTGCTCATTCTAGGATTTAGATTTTCAGTCCTAAAAGCATCAGCTTTTAAGACTCTAAATAGTTAAAGGATAAGTTAAAGTTAAAGGATAATTGAATTTTTAAATGCTTAAACAAACATTAAAAACACTGTGAATAAATAAAAGGTCTCAGGTTAAAGAAATGGTATAGGGAGATAAAACAGGCTCTATTTATATTGAAAATTCATATTACCCTTTTCACAGAAAAAAATTCTGTCTGGAGCATTTTAGCTAACTTATTTTAGCTCAGCATTTTTAGAGGTGGTTGGAAGTTACCAAGAATATGCATACTGTTTGGTAATTTGAAATGCAACAAAACAATAGGATTTATGTAAACCTCCAAATGTGGCCTTGTCTATGTGTAATACCAACAGAACCAGAGATTATAATTTATTCAAGAAAAAAATATACTATATGCTCTCGAACACTGTTTGGTTGAGAAGGAAAGAAAAGCATTTCTGTAACTGTCGGGTGTTCCTAACTTCCTGAAGTTATGTTAGACAACTTTTTGCTTGTTGGCTTTTTAAATTCCTAGGTGTTATTAGTTACATGCTTATCTTTGCAATTTATGGGACTACTAAGAGTTGAATGTTGCTACCCCTACTTTAGCAGCAGTGACGGTAAAATCAGAAATCATGGAGATTTTCTGCTACAGGTTGAAATCTGTATTTCTGTATTTCTGTAAATCTGAAATCTGTAGCAGTCCCCAGTGACTCACACTTACCTAAGCCCTTTGGCATCTGTAAGGAATACAGAGATATCACAGCCTGTGGGTGGGAACAAGGCCGGTGTGTGGCTTAAGGTCTAAGTTACCACTCACCATGTACACAAATGAAACCTGTCATTTGTCATTTGGGCTGTGGCTGTAACCACTATTTTTAAGCCCAAGAACCATTTGTTCGTCAGCTTTTTTATGTATTTCCCCTTCTATAGAATTCTATAGAAGAGCTTCACTTGGAGATTTTCTGACGACTATGTGCTAGGTTGGTTTGCCTGCTGCTATGGTTTCCTGGAGGGTCAGTTTGTACTACACTATTTGACGTTGTTCTCTAATATGCTCTTCAAGTTCTTCTTCTGCTTAGGCTGCTACGATTAACTCTCCTTAAGTTCGCCATACAGCACACACCATGCAGGCAGTCGTTCCTATAGCAGAGCAGCTGTATTTCAAGAGATTTTTATTTAATGCTGGTACACCTGTATTGCTCATGAATGTGATTTTGATTATTCCATTTCATCACTGACATTAAACACGGACCATGGTCACGATCCACTGCAATCTTTCTATCCTATGCTTCTGATAGTTCCCATTTGCAGGCTCTGGAATGAGCTCGGGATCACTCGTGTGGTCATGGCCTTCCCTGGTCTGAACTCGTTCATGGTTTCCTGTTACATTGCTGTAAGGTATTCAAAGTCCCTGGGAGCTGACAACTGTTTACCTCTAGCCTCATGTCCCACTGTCCTCCACATTCTCTACCCCTCCTCCTTCCCTGGACACACCAGCTGCTTCTGCACACACTAGTTCTCATGCTCCAGAGTGCCCTTCCCCTTTCACAGCCTGTCTCCACACTGGGAAACTCTCCCTCTGCCTCCTCCTCCAAAAGCCCTCAGGAATGACTTCTCCTGCAAGGCCTTCTCTCAATGGCCAGTAGCTCTTCCTTCTGTTTTCTCTCCCTTAGTATCATATATGGGCCCATATGCTTCTAGTACTTACCTTACTCATCTAAAGAGCTGGTCCACGTGTCTTTCTCCTACACTAGCCTGTGCTCACCTTGAGGCTTGCCTCTTAATTCAACATTACATCCTAAGTGCCAAGCACAATATTTGACAATGCACATGTTTGCTGAATGGCGAAATGAATCAATTCTTGACAAAATGCCATGCACTAAAATGTGCTAAAATGACTCTAGCGACAAAGAGAATGATAAAACTGCTAAGAAAATGCAATGTATCTAAGAACGTCCAAAGGACCCAGTCTGAATGAAGACAGGGTTTACTACGGTGCTTTCCACAGCTCTCGGGTGATGCAGAATTTACGGCATATATACTCAACCATTCTTTCTTACATTCACCAAACTCTACTGAACATTTATTATATATCAGACACTGTGACAGATACATGAATACAGAGCCTACAGAATTGAGTAGAAAAGGACAAGGTCTCTGCCCAGGTAATGTTTACAATCAAACAGGCGAGAGCAAAAAGAATCCTTCTCACATGTGTTTGCTGAATAAGTGTCATGAAAGAGAGGGAGTCAATAAAGGGGGAAATGGATCCAGCTAGCTGGGACCAGAGGGAGTAGGCTTCAGCCAAACTCTAAGGCGAAGAATAGGTTAATCTGACAAAAAGAAAAGCAAAGGAAGCTCCGTGCAGAGGGCAGGAGGGGATGCAGCATGGGGCAAGGCGACGCCAGGGACGAAGCACGGGCCAGACGCGGGAGAAGCCTGAGCTGCGCCTGGCCCTGAGAGCACTCAGGAACGACTGGGGTTTTGAAGACGTTTTTCTGGCTACAATGGAGAACGCCTTTGAAAGGACCAGGGCAGATGCAGGGAGACAAGTTAGGAAGCTGTTAACATCACTTTTAGCAAGGTGTTATCACTTGCCTCCTAAAAAGTATGCCCGTCTTGATTTAGCTTTTAATATTCCTTTAAAATCCACACATCACTGAACATTGTATTTGCTAAGTAGTAAAACTGAGTAAGCCCCTGTGTCCTGGGAGGTTGCCTCTCTGAGAGTAAGAATGTGTTCTAGTTACCTGAGAGCAGGATGCATGTGATCTGTCATGATTCCTGGCTTGAGAGTCCTGAATGAAGGTGTGGGGAGAAACAGGCTTCTTCTATTTAGTGGAGCTAGAGAATCCCTGATTGGAGATATACTAGTACAGAACTAAAAATACTGACTGAGGTGGAAAATTCAAGTTTTAATGGCAATATATTACTTCTGCGTTATTAGTCTCTAGAAGTGTAATTAAGATTCTAGTATTTTTCTTCATTTGATACTAAATATTGTAACTGAAAACTGACTCATTCAACTTCTGAAAAATGATGCCCTTTGTATAAGCATATCAAGGCATAAACTTTACTAGAGTAGGGGCCTGACTTTTATTTACTGGCCTTTGCATCTCATTGACATTCTTTAAATCTTCCTCATACAATATACCCTCTGTGGCCACGATGCTCTATTTAGCGGTCTCCTAACAAGCCTTGCACTCCATGCTTTTTCCCTGCTGTTCCCTTGACTTATGAACACCTACTCATCCTTCAGCGTCCAAGCTCAAATGTCACCTGCTCTGAGGAGCTCTGCCCAACTCCCACAGCCAGAGCTAATTACTCCCTCTTTGGCGTTTCCATAGCAATGTGTTGATATCCTTATTATAGCACTCTTCATCATGGGTAAGGTGGCTGTTTATGCTTTGGTTTCCCCTGTTAGAGTGTGAGAGCAAAAACTGTATCTTTATCTTTTTATCCACGTAGCTGAGAACAATGCCAAGTGTAACAGGCATTCAGTAAATGTTAGCTGACGAAGCAATGAGTAACACAAAGAAGAAATGTGCCATACAACCGACCTGCTTCTCAGCACATCACATCTGCAAGGTAGCATTATTTTCTCCATCATTACTTTCTCTATCAACACTGCTGGTTAGGAAGAAAGGCATGCTTTTTCTGCAGTTCAGCAAGAATAGACTAGTCCTTGGATAAATAACATATCTATCTATCCTGTCCTGCTTTTTGTTCAGAGGGATTTTTAGGCTAAGGATAGTCTTCCAGAAGTTCAGCACCTCTCATCAACTATGCAATCAATTACAGATACAGATACAAATACAGATTCAAACCTTGAAATTTTATCGTTTTATTTTTTTATGCCCTTCTCTAACTAAAGCAGAAAGTCCCTAAATCTACAATTTTAATAATGCTATCATTTATTCTTGGTTTAATACAAAAAGATCACCAAGATAAATTTTAGAACAAAAACTTAGGATTGGAAAAGAACAAAGCAGGGACCTCATCTCTATGTGTCTTCTGTATTCTGACTAAGGCCTAGTGCAGTGACGAGCATCCAGTAGATGCTCATAAACACTAGCAGCTGTTAATCTGTGACTCACTCTGATCAATCCAATATGTCTTACAAGTGAACAACTCCCTTCCCACTCAAACATCTTGGCAGTTCACTTTAAAAGCTTCCTATAAGTTCATTAACTCTATGAAAATCTATCAATAATATGGGTAGAGCTATTGAGATCATTTGAATAGCTCTGAGTTAATTTTTGGTGTGTGTCTAAGGGGTAGGACAGATTAAAAGCAAATAGTTGTTACAGGCGAAACGTGACAACAATGTGCAGGCTGGCACAGGGGAACTACTATAGTCCTAGCATCCATTTCTTCATTCTTTAGGACACAGGGTAGAAATAATCAATATCGCTGCTTAATCATGCACATTCTTATGAAATGAAAGTGTGTTAAATGGTTAGCTCTTGGGACTTAGCACTAAATGTTATACTTCCTTACAGTCTGCATTTAGTAGGCAATCAACACATATCTGTGAAGGAATTAAATAACAATATACTTTATACATTCATGCAAAAATCAGTCACATGGATTGGTCACTTGATTAGTTTTCCCCAAGAAAGCATTAAATTCAGCCTTTTTGATGAAAATGGATACTGCCTTGATACAAATGCACAAATTTCTTATGGTCTCTTGATTAAATGCTAGGAACAAAACTTTCTTTTATAGGTTTAAGGAGCACTAAAAGTAATTCTGATATATCAGTTTTCTCATTATGCACAATTGAAAAATGAAGCCAATCTTTATCTGTTTAAACAATGACAAAGGTTTTAAACAGTTTCATGCATTAACTTACCATGTTCCAGTCTGTTTCAACTTTTCTGAACATAGATTCCATTTTCCACACACCATTTTCCCATCCAGAAATGGTTTCATTATTATTTGAAACTCGAACATAACGATCTTGCACAATATTATAACAAAGGTGAAGCTGTTTAGAAATCTTCTCATTTTCAGAGGGGATGAACGTGGTTTCTTTTTTCTTAAAAAGAAAGAATTAGTTTTTCAACATGATGGAAGATATATACCGGAGGTGCCAAAAAAAATGTACACAAGTGGACACTTTGGTCAACGTTGCTCAAGCAGTAGTTCGCTGTAATCAGAAGTGTCTGGACGCTGATGGTAACCACTTCGAGCACCTCTTGTAATTGCAAAAGTCA